ACTGAAACCCAGGAATGAATTTGATTTGGAATTGAAACACAGTCAGGAAAGTTTATACAATGAAGTTATTTACATTATATGTGATTGAATATCCGGAATTTGGTCGGGACGTTTCGCTAGCACGCATCGCTGGCATCTTCAGTGCAATGTTGGAACCGAAAATCACGTACAGATTTTTTTAAAGCAAACGATAATTGCTGCCCGAAACAAACGTGAGCAAATCCGCGAGATTACGTGTGTTGACCCTAAAAACAACATAAAAAATTTCGATGCTGATGGAAAGATGAATTTTGTTGAACATTATTTCGAAGATGGTTTATCTGCAAGGTGCATCAGCTTCGGTCCGAGCGATCCATCAGGTTTAATTGCATATTACGTGGAACGCCTAATCAGTCAAATAAATGCTTAGCCTGCGGGCCTTAAAAGGTCTTCATTGTGTCGAGAGATTCTATCGGAACGCCGTGTCGTCTAAAGACCAGATATTTGAGTTTGAGTGGTTTTGAGGCGAGGTGGTGACTGAAGAGTTTGCAGAAAAATTCGACTGGGATCAACCAATCAGTGTTCAACTATTTCGCGTAGGCAGCCGATGGAGCTTTCAATTTCCTTAGACTAACGATAGTAAGAGTCAAGACCGCATGTAATTAGCACAGTAATTTATTCCGTGTGCAGTTAAAGGTTGTTGATGTTGATGTTTACATTCAGATGGAGCAAAAATGCCCCTGCTTGCCTGGTGATTATGCCGAATAATGGCCGAGATAGAGCGGTCACGACTCCCGATAGTTCGGCCTTTGCGGCCTGGAAAAATCGGCAATGGTTCATTAATATTGCAATTTTTTCCAGTCCAACAAACGTTATCGATCGTGAGAAAGTGCGGGTAAAAGTTCCCATCTGTTCCCAACTGCAGGCAATTTTATCGTTTGCTCCTGACACAAAATCCGACGCTCTCTACAACCCGTTGCAGATGGTTGTGGCTTGCAGGCCGAAAAAAACGTAAAATTGAAAAACAAGCGACGTTCAGTCATTGCAGTAATTAAGATTAAATGCCCAATTAACTAGTGCGGTCTGAAGTTGGCACAGTGAAGATGCTGCAGTAAATTTCCAGCGGAAGTTGCCGAGAAGCAAAGAACAAAACAAACATCCGTAGGTGTAGCGTTTTATTTTCCCCGTCAGATCTGGAGCTCTCTTCTAGCTCCCTTCTATCTAGGTGGACTATTATTATTCTCTTTGCGCCGGCTTTCATTGTATAAGAGAAGGTTTTGTTTCAGGTGCGAAAACACTTGGAAAATCGCTTGCTCGGAAGCGAATCTTCGCTTCTTTAAATAATGAAGCACTCAATTTCCATTACAACTATCACTATTCTGCAGTTAGGTGAATTTCCTGCAGGTCTGGATCAAAAGGGCATTTGCATGCAAAAGATTTAAGCGTGTTCAATGAAGAAACTGTTGAGCAAAAATCACGGATTCAGGGTTTGGTCCTGATAGATTTTTCTGGAAATTTGCAGCGATTGCTTCTGTATCCTGCACTTGTTTGCGTGGCTTTCCCGCATCTCTCCGCTTTTTTATGAATTGTGTCGTGTGTTTCTCGATTTGTTGCATTGTGCAAGTTTTAAGTCTAAGTTTTTCAGTTTGTTTAACGATTTTCATAGACAACAAAAGACTGAATTTCTACTCCGTCGCTGCTCAATGTTTGATCTTCAAATTTCGCTTTCTGGGTCAAAACTGTTCGATATTTCTCGCGCATGTTGTTTTTACTGAATATAATTTTTAATTCTCTATCCAACGATGCCAAAACGAATTGTGTGGCTCAAACAGTTCTGGAGAAACTTGGAAAAAAGCAGCGTCATGTTTCAGTCGATTTTGCAACTCAAAACAAGGACGCAAATCTAAAAATTTTTGAAATCAAGACTTTTTTGAGAAAACTGCCCAGATTTCCTGATAGATGGTTCACTTTCTAAAAAGGTCATTTAGTTCTCTCCGGAATGATGTAAACAGGAGCGTTCTTGCTCATTTTGCTTCCGAGAAATGAGCAAAAGCCTGACGGAAAAACATGAAATTTTGGCATAATCTTGCACCAAAATGTCTGATATTTAAATTTCGCTTTCTGGCTCAAAAGTACTCGAATTTCCTCACTCATGTTCTATCGAGTTTTCAATTCTCTATCCAACGATGCCAAAACGAACTCTCTGGCTCAAATGGTTCTTGAGAAACTGCGAAAAAAGCAGCGTCATGTTTGTGTCGATTTTGCAACTCAAAACAAGGACGCAAATCTAAAACTTCTTGAAATCAAGACTGTTTTGAGAAAACTGCTAAGATTTCCTGATCGATGGTTCACTTTCTAAAAAGATCATTTAGTTCTCTCTATACTGATGTAAAAATGAGCGTTCTTGCTCATGTTCCTGCAGAGAAATAAGCGAAAACAGGACGAAAAATCATGAAATTTTGGCACAATCTTGCACCCAAATTTCGCTGTCTGGCTCAAAACTACTCATGTTGTTATGACTGAATCGAATTGCCTCGGAACGTTGCCAAAAATGAAACGATCAATACAGAAAACACGTAAAAAAGTGTAGGTTGAGAAAAATTCCATAGCGATTCAATTGAATTAGAATGTTGCGAAATTTGAAGCAGAGAAGAACAGATTCATCAAAAAAAGCTAAAAATCGATGAGAAAAACCGAGTTTAATGGAAATCGTCTGTAGCTGCTCGATCTACCAATAGATGAGTATAAAATCTAAAACAGTTCAAAAGAGATAAATTTTCGGGGCCATTCCTTGAAACTTGTGGGTTTTTAGGCCGTCGTAAAATGGAATTTCTTCCGGACGTTTCGCAAGCACGAGTGGCTTGCATCTTCAGAAGTGGTTTGCTTGAACGCTTACACTGTTCTCATCAGAACCCCCGTTCAGTTCTTCCGCAGAACT